TTATCAGTGGATGGTTGTCATATTGAACTATGACATGGCTGACCATGGAAGATGTAATCCAGACAGGCGGAGGGGGAGAAGGAGAAGAGGTGGAAGAAGGAGAAGAAGAAGAAGAAGAAGAAGAAGAAGAAGAATACACACAGCACCTTCACTAGGGTATAACGCTCACCCTACAAGAAACCCACCAGCAGAAACATCTGTCACATCTTCCACAACATGCCAACGAGTACGATGGAATAGAAACTTGAGAAGCACGATCCTTCTCGGGGTGTACTGCTGTGGTCCTTTAGAAACTGCGTCATTCGTCTGGTCAAGGAAATTTCCTGAAACTGTTGCAAATACAATGCTACTTCCTACGTTCCCAAGAAGCCAGTGGATGTAGTGGAGAGAAGACCTGAACACAGTGAACAGAAGAAAGAGTGTGTGCACAGCCTTTAAGGTTACGCAATAGTCGTCTTGTGAAGGATATATATTCTGGAACTCTGTCGATAGCAACTATACCCATTTTCTCTTTTAACATGGGACTTAAGACAAGGTCTTCCCCGTAATTTGTTCAAAGTGCTGTGAGCACTTTACGTCACAGATTGCTGATTTTACAAAATCTCATGTGCAAATCTGCTCTGACCTGTGAGACATTAGTTCATGAACACCTATAATTGTGGAGCCAGAGAGGCAATGTTTACTACGAAAATGTTGTAGCAGTCCTTTGCTAGAGCCACGTACAAAAAGAGAAGGGAGCTTTCTGAGGGTTAGCTTGATTTCTTAGCATCTCATCCATTGGGTTGAAGGAAGCCATAGAACACTTCAAATGCTGAGTGTCAGAATGGGAGAGATATGTTGTGTCTAGATGTCTAATTAAAAGATTAGTGCTTTCTTTTAACGTGTTATGTGATGGAATTTGTGAATACAGGAGTTTACAGTGCATTCCCACACTTCCTGGATGTTCACGTGTTCTGTGTCAGTCACTTCTACCAGATGTCGCAGTTCGTTACTGCATTGTGTGGTATGTAGGGTATGTAGCATGTGGATTACAACGAAATTGCGTTAGAGATTACTGGTAATAAAGTCGAATAACTAACTCACAGAGATGAAGACGAGTTGTAACACACATAATAATAAAAAAACTTCGTAGATAGCGTGAGGACGCCACACCAATCAAAGAGGAGCTCACAGAAAGTGGCTTATTCATGAAGTTTTGGGCGTGGGCTGAGTAAGGCTGTATTGTCTGTGATGATGTGTGTACGCCATTGAGGTATGTCGTGCAATTAATTAGATTAATTAGTAAGTAGGGACTTTGATTTGATGTTGTGAAACAAGAGTCGGCATTTACGAAGGATTTTACATCTGTGTGTTACTTATGTATATTGATTATGCTTACTACGCCCAGTGAAATTAGAAACAAACATGAAGTCAGTGTTACTACGATACTTCATCCAAATCGTATTTCTGTATTTTAAGCATCTTTCGGTCTAGCCTAAAGAAGGACCGTAGAATTTCAAGAAAGTGAGAGTGTACTGTGATTCTGTTATAATTTTTGTATTGTTTCCTGCAGTATAAATGGGGAGGAAAAAGAAATGTTTTGCTCCAGGATGCACGTCTTTCAGTGCACAGCAGAATGAAATTCTTCCATTTTCCCAGGGATTCACCAAGGTATGAGCCAGATCTAAAACATAATTATAAAAGATGCAGTAAAATTTTGGCTAATGTTATTAAAGCAGCTAAAAATCTTCATTATATTCATTTAATTTATAATTGTAATAACAAAATGAAAACCACCGGGAGCATTATAAAATCAGACACAGGTAGAAAAATTAATGCAGGTATACAGTTTTTAAACATTGGTGGGAAATTAACTGATAATCATGATGTGATTATGGATTCTTTAAATAATTATTTTCAAACTGTAGCTGACAAGATCAATACTAATAATGCAAACGTCGGCCACATTATAGAATCAGATACTGACATATATTCAAATTATGTGTCTCAAACTTTCACGATTCCCTTCCCAAAAATTAAACTGAACCATACCTGTACTAAATAATTTGAAAATATAATTAAGCCTTTAAGACCAAAAATTATAGTGGGTATGATGAAATTGAGGTTAGAAATTAAAATCAATGCCCCTTTCATTGGCTCCCAATTAAACATATTTCTAACATCTCCCCAACTGGTGTCTTCCCACTTGGTTGAAACATTCAGAAATAAAACCATTAATTAAAAACAGAAAAAACTAATATGACTAGCTACAGACCTATATCATTATTGACATCGTTTTCAAAATTTGTTGATAAGGTTATATACGCAAGACTACGCCAACATATAATGAGTAACAACATATTAGCAAATGAACAGTATGGTTTTAGGAGTAATCCATCTACAAAAATGGCCTCACATAAATTAATCATATATTAAATGCACTGATTAACAAAATATTAGTTGGTGGCATTTTCTGTTATTTGAAGAAAGCTTTTGGCTGTGTTACTGTTGATCTATCATTTTACTATCTAAAGTAGAACTTTGTGGAATAGTTGGTGAGGCCAGTGCATTGATAAAATCCTATCTCCAAGACAGGTACCAAAGGGTTGTAATCAATAATTGACATTCTTTCCAGACGGGACAATGTTAAGAATGGTTTTCCCCCAGGTTTGATACTGGGACCGTTATTGTTTCTTTTTTATATAAATGACTTGCTAAACGTTATAATTAGTGAATCCAAACGTGTTCTTTTTGCAGATGACACTAGCATAATTATCATGTATTGTAGCCATTTAGATTATGAAAACAGTATTATTCAAACATTTAAAAAAATGGATGATTAGTTTAAAGATAATTTATTGACACTAAATTTTGATAAAACATATTTTCATATAATTTTTTGCTAAGGATAGCTGTCTACCGGATATTCATATTGACTACAATAACAGATTGTTAAATCTACAAATACCAAATTTTTTCAATTAATTATTGACAATATGTTGTCGTGGAAAGGACACTTTAGCTGGCTTATGTCTAAATTAGGTTCGGTCTGTTTTGCAATCAGGGCTGTTAGACCTTAAATGTTACAGGAAATAACAAGAATGATATATTTTTAATACTTTCATTCCATTATGATCTGCGGTATAATTTTCTTGGGCAATTCTGCTCATAGTTGACAGCACAGAGGGAAGCACTTTTGTAAGTAGCTGTCTCGGCACTTACTTACCCGTGGAGCTGAGCCCTTCTGGAGGAGTCGCAAATTCTGCAGCTAATCAATTTCCCAGCATTTTGTGGAACCTAAAGGTTCATCACTGTGTTCACAAGAGCCCTCCATTGGTCCGTATCCTGAGCTAGATCTATCAAATGCATACTATCCCATCCTGTCTCTCTAAGATCCATTCTAATATTGGCCACCTCCTACACCTTGGTCTTCCCTGTGGTCTCTTTCCTTCTGATGTTGCCACCAATATCCTATACACATTCCTTGTCTCCCCCATTTGTGCTACATGACCTGCCCACCTCATCATCCTTGACTTGATCATTCTAATTGTACTTGGAGAAGCGTACAAGTTATGAAGCTCCACATTATGCAGTTTTCTCCAATCTCCTGTCACTTCATCTCTGTTCAGTCCAAATATTCTCCTCAACACCCTTTTCTCAAACACCCTCAGTCTATGTTCCTACCTTAATGTCAGAAACCAAGTTTCACACCTATACAGAACTACAGGCAAAATTATAGTTTTGTGTATTCTAATTTTTATGTTTTTGGACAACAGATGAGAAGACAAAAGGTTCTGGACTGAATGGTAGCAAGCATCACCCGAGTTCAGTTGCCTCTTAATCGCCTCCTGAATCAGGTTTCAATCTGTTATCGTTGTTCCCAAGTATCGAACTGTGCCACATTTTCAAAACATCTGTTTCCTATCTTTATGTCATGATTTTGCCCTACATCTTGGTGACGAATCAGCAACATATACTTAGTTTTCTTTGTGTTTACTTCTAATTCAATCTCTTTACGTGCATCAGTTAAAGTTTGTGTGTTTTTCTTTATGGTATCTACATTTTCACCCAGTAGATTCACATCATCGGCATAGACCAACAGCTGATGTGTCCCGTTTAATTTCAGTCCCACCTGGCTTCCCTGGACCTTCCTAATTCCATATTTTGAGGCAAGGTTGAAAAGGAATGGCAATAAAGCATCTCCTTGTTTTCAAACATTCTGGATAGGAAATTTAACAGACAAATGTTTACCTACATGGAATTTACTATACGTTTTGTTTAAACACATTTTAATCA